TTTATTATTTACCCGGTATATGTGGTTTTAGCAAATTAAAACCATTATTTTGATCTTTGTAACCTGTTTTGGGGGGGAAAAAATCACCCAAATTGTACATTATTGTATTTGTAAGTCTAATTAGTGGTATGAGCCAGTAAACTGAATGTTTCCAACTTGCAACGTAGAAATTCCACTCAAATAAATCTGCCATCATCTTTCAACTAATTCGTACCAGCCTCTGAAAATGTGCACATTATTCTAAGCAAGAAAAAACGAACATGCAAATTATCTTTGGCTGTAGCATAATATTTTCATATATTTTAAAGATTTTTTGGAGGTGAAAAACTATGTCACGGTTGTATTTACTCAGCAAAACACATGCATACGTTAGATGTCAGCCATTGTTCTTTTGACTTTTTATATTTTTTGTCCTACCCTTGCATGTGCTAGGTAGGTTACGAATGTGCAATACAATAGATTTTGCTGTTACCATAACAATTATTGCCACTATTTTGTTAATTTCAGGTTTTATTAGAGATCATAAGACCATGAATGTACTGTGCAGCTGTTTGTTCATACTACATGTGGTTGCAGTTTTCCAAGTTGTGGATGCAGTTACAGTTCTCTATGACGGTAAAGTAGTACTTTTTATATAGCTATATGAATTTCATCTCAATGGTAACTATAATATTGACTATAGAAAATAAATTACTATACTAGGAAGACCACAAGCTCATGGTCTTGTTTATTCAAATTTTAACAAGTTGTGCTTGTTTTGGTAGTGATACCTTGGTTGTGCCTCTATTCCACATGTACATACCTGGTATATATCCAACTATTAATCTTAACGACCATTTTGTAACTAATCTGCAAGACACAGGGATATCCTAATAAAATAATGTCTTGTTCAGCTTCTCATAAAAGGAGACTATCACTCAAGTAGCGCTTACCAGTAGTCTGTTTACATACATTTGTGTTCATAAATACATTTGAAAAATATCTCACCACAATCAAAAATCCAAATCATAGAGCTGCTATGACAAAACTCAGAATAAGTGCTCATACCCTTCAAATCGAAAGGGGCAGATATAATAACATTTTAGCGGAGGACCGAATTTGCCCAGTTTGTGACAAACAGGAAATTGAAAACGAAAAACATTTTCTTCTCAATTGTAATCTATACAAGAAGGAATGAGAAATCATGATCATAATAAAAGCAACTTGGGGACGGATGACGAACAACTTACAGATATACTAAAAAGTAAAAATGACAAAACAATCATTGAGCTAGGAAAATTCATCCACACTTGTTTCAAATTACGACAAGAAAAAATCCTAAAATGCCAGATGCCACAACCAACCAACCACCAAATAATTAATTTTTTTTTTTTCTCTTCTTTTCTTTATTCAATTGTCTGTAAATGTCTTGTATTTTTTTTTGCTATCTTTTTGTATTAACTTTATTGTATTTTCAACTAAGATCCCACTTCGGGATACGGTTTCAATAAAGATTATTATTATTATTATTACATTTTTTCTGGTGAATTTCAGAACTAGCAGCATTCTTTAAATCATTTATAGAACAGCATTTTATCAAAGTCCAACAAGCAAAAATGTTTTAAGCTCGAGCCAATTTGGGCTCCAATAATTCCTTGGTGTTGATGTCAAGAGTGCTGTTTCAAGCTAGTATCTAAATGAACTAGATCACACAACCGTATAAGCGCACAAGACATAATCCCTTGTTATTTGGTGGAAGGACTAATAGTTCAGCTCTGATAGATCTATCAGTCTAAGATTGCTGCCGAGTAAATCTAGCATAGCATTAAATTCACAGCGTAGCAAATTATAGATACCTGCACCAACTAAGATGTCAATGACATAATTTTTCTGCTTGAGCAGTAGTTAAAATTAGGCAATAACACTGCACTGAAGGAGAACATACATGTATTTATATGGGTGGGTGTGTCTTATGTATAAATAGTGTAATAACAAAACACTCATAAATCTAATGATTTATGTTCACTTTTAAATATCAATAAATGATTCAGCACATGATGATGAATATTATTTCTATTTTGAAAAATATTGATGACATATTTTGAGAATAAAGACAGTATATTGATGTTAGGTTGGTGATATAATGCAGTTGGCAGTATATGGCCCGTTATAGCATTTATATCTACACATCGAGAACTTACAGTGTATACATGTAGTCTCTGTCTGTGAACCCCTGGACTAATTATCTTCAAACCTCACACATACTTTATACCTTATGTACTACATACACACATACATGTATGGTCATTACCGGTACGTTATTTGATCAGAACCACATCATGGGCATGTGTTGTCTGAGTTACTTCAAAACAAAGATTCACCATTATGGGTAGTTATTCACTTCACTTTGATTTGTAAATTCAACTCAAGATGGCGACTGGTGGCCATTTTGCTTTTGACAAATTATATTCCAGACAGACATGTATATCTCAAGATGGCTTAATTTATCCGTCTAGAGTCTAATTATTTATCTGTGTAATAATACATGTATGTATAGCCTGTCTAAATTTGAGATTTGTATTATTATCAATGTTGAAATCAGAAGTACTCCCAAGATGGTATATTCTCTTATTATTGGAGATATCTGTCCTTTGGGAGTTAAAGCAACAATATCTATAACTATCAATCTTTTTTCTATGATTTTTATTATCAATAAAATATTTCCAGTGTTATTAGTACCATTTTGTAATGATCATTGTCAACTGTGAATACTTATAACATAGCATTCATGCTGTATACCAATCTTGTGCTTGAAATCAGTTGCAAGTGAAAATAAATGAGGGCGCCGTCTATTAAAATCCTGTTTTGTCAACAAACCTCAGTGTTAACGATACAAGATAATGTACTTGCGTCCTAGGAGACATGTCAAATACATCAAATACATCTTGATAGGCTAACGAGGATCTTGTGTCTTTTTCCAGTGTGCGTCATGCGTCATAATTTTCTACAAAATGGTGACTACCGGTACTTGAAGTTTTAACCTCGCATTTTATGTGATATTAGCCTTAGGGTCACTTCTTCCATGCTACTGTGTCTAAAAAACAATATTTTTGTAAGATTTAGTCATCTTTATGTGGTTATATTTAAACAAAGACAAATTTAAAAATTAAACTATTGCCTCTTTAACACCATCCCTGATCATCATATTTTGTTGCTTTTGTTATCAAACGTTACAAATCTACAAAGAAAAAGAGTTCTTTAAGACCCCCCTCCCCTCCTAACCTAAACTTAACATTCCAGTTCCCCAATGTAGTTGTATATGCCCTACTGATTGACTGCATGTATACATGCATATACAATTAAAATATTGAAGGGGCACTAGAGGGTTAGGATTAGAGTTATGGGTGAGGTGGCCATATGACAACGAAACTCAACCCCTAACTATGTGTATAATTAAGATGGAATGATGCACAAACGTAGCAAACTACTCCTTATTTGATATACCTGTATGTTACAAAGATTAAAAAAATAAAATATAAATTTACAGTGAAAATAGTATTTTTTTGTCCGTTTTAGGGCATTTTACCATTGTTTCCTATGGCAGGGATATATATAAAAAATAATCAATATGTCCATACACTGCACTGTATGGTGAAAAAAATATATACATGTAGTAGGTTTTTAACAAACAAATGTGTTTTCATTGTAGTCAGTGGGAACCGCTGCTAACAGGGCATTTTATTAATATTATTTTCCAGTTTTACTCAAAAATTAGATTGACAGTGTATCAAAGAAGTTGAACTGTGGATAGATTTTGACACGATTTATCACTACTGCTATATGCACCTGTAAAAAACTTGTTTGGTATGCATGATCAAAATTTGTTTAAAAGAATAATCCAATGGAAACTATACTTAATGGTAGGGCACAGCCTTATAATCTTTGAACTATACTGTCTTTTTCAGGTGGTTGGCTATAAATTATGAGTTTGTTATTACCAGCTACCTGAGTGATGTACAAAAACCTGCCATGCGTGCTTCAAAAAGTCCATTTCATTTGTATTTAGGTCACTCTACCTGTCTTTACCTTTACAACATGCACACTTAATACTGACTTTGTATTTTGACTACTGTTATATTATAATATTTTCACAGAATGAATCTTTATTAAAATCTAGAAGTTAAAATATATCAAGAGTCAAATGGCTATTTCAATTAATACTGAATATAAATCAGCATAAATTATGTAGTTTTCTTATAAATAAAGAAATTAAAGTGATCACATGTAATTATAGGTATATAAATAATTAATATTTAATAATATAATTAATACATGTAAATAAAATAAAAATGAGCTAGTACAGCTAGTACAATTACTGAATTTGATTATGCGAGAGTATATTAAAAATAAGTCTAACACAACCCTTTTTTGAAAGTTTTTTGACACATCTGTTGTCAAACATGGTGAAACAGACTTGAGTCTGAGGAAAAACACTGTAAATGTCTGCGCTTTATGTAAATGGCCTGTTAAAGAAACATAAATGAACCAGCGAGTTA